GACATGAACAGAATAAATTTTGTAAATTGGGACATACAGGACGTGGGAACCAAAATAACTACAGTAACGTGAGACAAGAAAGGGACTGGCAAAACCATTCAGTACCTTTAAAGCACAGTAATCCAAACTTTAGCAGACCAAGTGGAAGATCTTTGAGTGCAAATCTTAGATGTTTTAGGTGCGGCAAAGAAGGACATTTTGCAAAAACTTGCAGAATAACAGTACCAAATCCGTCGGGAAACTTCAACTGGCCCAGTCTAAGACATTAGACTGGACTGCCGTAAATTCAAAAAGTAAATGTCAATTAAATTTAGGACCTGCACGAATAACTAAAAGTAACAGCAACAACAATGTTCAGAACCAATCAAATACAAATAATAAGATGAAGAATTTAGGAGCCAAAGCGGTTAATTCAAGGAATCATGGTATAATCACGATAAAACATAAGGAAGTGCAAGAAAATTTGACCAACCAAATAGGGTTTAAAAATTCAGAGGGAAAAATTAGTTATTTGAAAAAGCCGAAATTGAATAATATAGTGTTGAGGGTGAACAAATATATGTTCAGTATTTGGACATGTATAGTTACATTACTAATTTCATATTGTTCAATACTATCGGATTACTGGAAAGAAAAATCAGAGTGGGTGTTTGAACAAATAGGAGTTCTACGGGCAAAAGGAGCGAGTTACAATGCCAAAGGTAGCATTAGTCAATCGTTTGATGATGCCTATGTAGAAGTACCTTGCGAACGTGCAGTGGGGAATAAACTTCGACTTTTAGTTGACTCGGGAGCAGACACCAGCCTTATAAAAACAGAGGCGTTAATCGATTTAAAAGATATAAACACCAAAGACACAAAAGGTCTTACAGGAGCTTTTGGAGGCAATATAAGTACATTGGGTACGGTCAATATTGAACACCGAAAATTTCCAGCTCTACAATTCAAAATGCATGTAGTGCCAGTAGGTAGCCAGTTACCAGCAGACGGACTTCTAGGTCGAGATGAACTGTGGAACCGGTCTACTACGGACACAATTAAAAAGGTTTTAAAATTTTTTAAAAATAAAGAGGAATTAGCTACTTTACCACTGGTAAGCATTGTAGATCATGGTCGGATTTGTATAGCAGAAAGCATGACAATCCCAGGTAGATCAACAATGATTATTCCAGTAAAAGTAGTGCCTAAAGAAGGAACACTCGTAATACATAAAAAGGAAATAGTTACAAATGTCTATTCAGGTGAATGTTTAACAGAAGTAAAAAACGGAATAGGTTTTGTAAGAATTTTGAATGCAAACAACTATGCAGTTGAAATGAATAGTGAAATTGAATTAAAGGGCAGTGATATGAATGAGTACTATGAGTACAATGTCCCTAATGTTAATTTGAACAAAGAAGTAAACTTACAGGAAAGGTACGGAAAATTACTGAAATTAATAAGATTGGATGAGCGTTTAAACAATGAAGAAAGACGGTTAATTACGCAGACAATTAAGGAATATAACGATGTATTTCACTTACCAGAAGATAAACTGTCCTATACATCAGTATTGGCACACGAAATTCCAACAAGTCATGATCAAATACCGGTAAATCAACGACAATATAGATTACCAGAAGCACATAAGGAAGAAATTAATAAGCAAGTTAGTGAAATGCTAGATGAAGGAATAATAACAAGGAGTAAATCACCATGGAACTCTCCTATCATCCTTGTACCAAAAAGGTCAGGTATAGATGGGGAAAAGATGGCGTCTCGTGGTTGATTTTAGAAAATTAAATGAAAAAACAATTAAACAGGTGTTTCCAATTCCTAGAATTGATGAAATTTTAGACCAACTAGGATGCAGTAGATATTTCTCAACGCTGGATTTGGCTAGTGGCTATCACCAGGTGATGGTAGACAGTAAAGACAGGGAGAAAACGGCATTTAGCACAGGTCTAGGACATTTTGAATTTCTTAGAATGCCATTTGGTTTAACAGGAGCACCCGCAACTTTTCAGCGAATTATGAATAGTATTTTAACAGGATTACAAGGGATAGATTGCTTCGTCTATCTCGACGATATTGTTATCTACGGAAGGAATTTAAATGAACACGACCAAAGGTTAAGGGGAGTATTACAAGCACTAAAAGAAAATAATTTAAAATTACAAACGGAGAAATGTCAGTTTTTAAGACGAGAAGTCGTTTATCTTGGGCATAAATGTTCGGACAAAGGAGTAATTCCAGATCCAGACAAAACGAAGTGTGTTAAGTCTGTCCCAGCACCTCGAAATGTTAAGGAACTGCAATCATTTTTGGGACTTGTGAATTATTATAGGAAATTTATCCCACAAGCAGCGAGTGTGTGTTTACCACTTAATAAATTACTAAGGAAAGGAGAAAAGTTCGAATGGAACGACAGTTGCCAAGAAGCAATGATTAAACTGAAGGCTGCAATAACGAAGCTTCCTATACTTCAATATCCAGATTTCTCAAAACCTTTTGTTTTAACAACTGACGCTAGTAATGAAGCGTTAGGTGCAGTATTGTCTCAGGGAGAAGTAGGTTCTGATTTACCACTTTATTTCGCAAGTCGTGCTCTGAGTAATACGGAGAAAAGATATTCAACTATAGAAAAGGAATTTCTTGCGATAGTTTGGGCAACTAGGAATTTTAGGTCTTACTTATTGGGAAGACATTTTAAAATATTTACTGACCATAAGCCATTAAGAGGTATAGCAAATCTTAAAGACCAAGACACACGTTTGGGAAGATTCCGATTGAAATTGTTGGAATACGATTTTGAAATTTTATACAAACCAGGAAAAACCAATAAAAACGCGGATGCTCTGAGTCGACTACCAATAGCAGTAGTTACGAGAGGAAATAAAAGAGCAACAAATCTGAAGGAAAACAAAAATAAAATGGAACAAAATGAAATAGAAGAAGTGGAAGATACGAAGGACCAAACGAAAGAAGATTACGCGGTATTTCTAACTAATAAAAAAGATATCCAAGAAGTTTTAAAGAAATTCCACGACTCACCTATCGGAGGACATCAAGGAGCTGTTAAAACGTATTTCCGAATACGAAAACAGTTTAAATGGGCAGGCATGCAAAGACAGATAAAAGACTACGTAGGAACATGTCAACAATGCCAGAAAAACAAGAGTTCTAGGGTAGAGGAAATGCCAATGGTTTTGACGGATACCCCTCAAAGACCATTCGACAAAGTATTTATGGATATTGTAGGCCCACTACCTACTACAGAGAATGGGAATAAACTAATTTTAACATTTCAGGATGATTTTTCTAAATATTTGGTATGTACAGCATTACAGGATGGGGAAGCTACGACAGTAGCAAGGAAATTCTTTAACGAAATAATTTCAAAATTTAATATACCAAAAGTTCTCGTGACAGACAATGGGACTAACTTCACATCAAAATTATTTAAAGAAATCTGCAAAATTCTTGGTGTTAAAAAGATACAAACTACTCCATATCATCCACAGGCAAATGGCTCTTTGGAAAGAAGTCATCGTCCTTTAGCGGAATTTTTAAGAAGTTTCGTTAAATTGGATGGATCCAACTGGGATGAGTGGTTGCATCATGCGATGCATGTCCATAATAACACGGTGCATTCTGCAACAAAGCAGACACCATCAAAAACACTATTTGGGTTCGATTTCGAGATTCCCATAACATTAAAAAGAAAACCAACACCATTATACAACCACGACGATTTTTCAAAAATTCTGAAATATCAAATTCAACGCTCATACGACGTGGTTCGAAAAAATCAGGAGTTAAACTATGATAAGAATTCTAAAAGTAGAATGTTCAAAGTAGGAGATAGGGTATGGTTGAAGAATACAAGTAGAAGAAATAAGTTTTCACCTATTTGGGTGGGACCTTTCCCAGTAACAGAAATTACTAGTCCAGTAAATGCTAAAGTAATAATTTCAGGAAGGGAAAGAGTATTCCACAATAATCTACTTAAATTACATAAAAGATAGACAAAATTATAACTATTAACAAGTTTTTTTTTAAATTTAGTCTTTAGTTTTAATTTTTAGGAGTTGTAGGTTTACAATTAGGAGATGAAGGTTCCTGTTTTTCCGGGGGGAAAAGGAAAAAAAAAAAAAAAGAAAAATGAAACTAGAAAACTGAAATAAATATTTTTTGTTTGACTCAACATTTTCATTATTTATTATAATCTAAATAAATTTTTGACTGTTAAGTAGTTTATAATAACAATCATAATAAACAACAGAACACAATAATAAAGAAATTTACAAATTTCAATTATCAAGAGTAAACATTTCTTAAAATATTTTAAATAGATAATTTTTGAACTATAGTTTGTTTATAATAAGATATAATAAAGAATTTAAGCAATTCAAGAAATTTTTTAAAAATATTTTATAAGAATAATTTTTAAGTAGTTTATGAAGAGTAAACATGTATGGAAATATTTTTGACGCATATAAAGTGTTATTTTTTTTTAAGAATAATGTTATGAAAAAATTAAAATGTAATATAGATTTAAGATTTTAAAATTTAAATGAATAATTTAAAATGTAAACCTAAATTTGATGCAAGTTTAATATAGACCGTTAGATATATAACATTGTGTGCCACAATGTTCTTCATAGGGGGAAGGAATGTTGTGAGTTAAATATTTATTTTATTTAATTTCACGGGTTTTTTGCAGTTTTTCTGTATGGTAGTGTGTACGATCTTAGGTGATCGTACATTTCCCTAAAAATAGGCAAGGTTATTTGCATCTGGGCTGTTGTTGACCAGAACCAAAGCAGCAGACCGTCAGTTCGACGATAAGAAATGCTGAGTTTTGGTATTTGGTTAATAATTGGTGTCACGATGTAAGTGACTTTGAAATTGTAAATACGGAAGAATTGCAAAAATATGTAGAGCATTCTTATTAATAATAAAAACTTTGCAAATTTAGCAAAGTAAATTATGAAACTATGAAAAACCCAATTAGGTAACTAGGGTAATTTGAAGGTCATATATTGGATTTTTGCATCAAGTTTGGGTATATAAGATGGATTTAAAACCACAAAAGTGGTAGTTATAGTGAGAGTTGTAGCTGAAGTTGAAGTTAGAGTCTAAGTTAGAGTCTAAGTTGGAGTAAAAATTAAGAGTCAAAGAGGAGTCAAAGTC